GTTCTGACCCCTCATTTGGTGATCTTGTCGCCAGGCAGATTTTGATCTGTGACATTCTCAGTACAACATATCCTGACCTTTCAATAGACAGTTTTAGAGCGAGCGTTGCTATGCAACCGTGGTCTACTTCCTGTATGTGGTTTCCTGTCTACTCTTAGAGCCTTACACATGTCTACTATATTCTTAAAGACACGTGAACTGGCATATGATAGTATTATAATGCATATGATACTAAAATAAACATGTAAATATATTTGCTAATGCAGATTATAATGTCAATCCTAGAATTTCATATGTTGATAAATGTTGATAATCTGAAGCCAAGACAATCAGACCTTACACCCACACATTATTCTCGTGCAGACAGTTTAGTCATCTCAGTATGTATCTGCAAGACTTCCTGTTGTTGTGAGCCTCTGCACCTCCTCACAAGCATTTCATGGGCACAGGTCAAGTCTTTCCAAAGGTCAAACAGATTAAACAATTATTTGAACAGTTTTGCAAATACATAACATAGCACTATATCATTTTATCAAGAATTTCTTTCTACAATAGATAGATCAATAGATAGCTAGATAGTAAGTTACATAGAGAAATAGATAAAATAGTTACATAGATAAATAACATTAGATATAGTTACATAGATAGTCCTAAATAACATTAGATATATATAGATATATTGCATATATAGTTACCCAAACCTCTATGAATTATCCAAGCATTTCCTGTGTACCCCAGCCTCATCTGTGCCATGTTTTTTCAAGACTGGGGAAATAATAATAATAAAGCTTTATTTATATAGCACTTTACAGCTCCAGGGAGCACAAAGTGCTGCACAATAGAATATATATATCAACTAAAAAAACAATACTAGAACAATAAAACCTAAGCAAGAATAAAACACAAATTTCCAAAATGGGAGCAATAAAAACTTCTATGTCAAGATACAAATAGCCTCAAGGCCGGTCCGTGGCATAGGCGGTATAGGCAAATGCTAAGGGCGCCGTACATCCAGGGGGCGCCAGAAATGGAGGAAGAAAAAAGTGTTTTGAATGTGCAATTGCTTTATTTAAATAAAAGAATGTCCAAGACAACGCTATTACGTTTCTTATGAGTATATACACTAGCAGTGGAATTTACTGCGATGCAACAGGGCGCCACCTGAAATCTTGCCTAGGGCGCCAAATTGGTTAGGGCCGGTCCTGATGCTACATTTTGATTTCCAATATATTCTCCATTTTCTCCTTATGAATTGTGTAATGTGGTATAATTTGTCTGCATATCTTATAGAATAAGGCTGGTGATGTTTTGCATATAATCTTAATTCACAAAAGACACCTTTATCTATGTGTGTAATAGTGAACTACACTAGTGGCCTGTTTCATTGTGAAATAATTTTTTACTATTAATGAAGTTTAAGTGTAATTGATGCACTTATATTGAGATTGCAACAGTAATGATTCAGGGTTGTGCTGGGGTAGATTAAGTTCAGATTTTAACCAGGCGATGTTTTCAATAACTGATGTCATGTGGGATTGGTAAGGGGTGCTGTTGATATGTCTACAGGTGTTGGGACAAAATAGGAAGAAATAAAAGAAATAGGGCGAAAAGGATTACATTTCATTTACTGTAACATGTAGCCGATTGTTATTGATTCATCTGCATATCACCATTCCTTTCACTTCAAAAGTTATCAAAGATTGATATTTGGACAGGTGTGCCCAAACGTTTACACATAATTGTCTGAAAACTTTCTGTGCTTTTATTTTGAAAGCAACACGCCCAACCGGAAAAGTTTTTTTTTTTTTTGAGGAACTTGCGCTTTAGTCGCTCAGAGCAGGTTTGTGGTCCGAATAGAGAAAGCCGATGTCGTATGAGTTGGCAGTCGGGAATATCGCTACTCAGGCGTGCTAATTATGGCAGAAAGTAGTAACATTAGTTCAGACCCTAGTTCAACTGCTGGAGCGGAAAGGAGGCAGTAGTGATAAGCGCAAATCTAAAGGGGAAGTGGTTCTCGCAAAACACTCGGAGTAGTCTTGACTGTGTTCGTCTGTTGTGTTGTGCAACGTGAACAAAACGCCTTCTTGGAGTTTGTTTCGCGAATTCAAAAGGTACCTCGGCAGACAGGTAAGATGTGGAGACTTTTCAAACTCAAAACTACATCAGAGACGAGCAACCCTGTTAGGAAAGATGTTAGCTAACAAAGTTAGCTAGCTAGAGGAACCAGTCTCAAACTGTTGGAATATTGTGCCACTTTTAGTAACGTCACTGCATATAATCATAACCAGTGGCCATGCTTTTATTCTGATTTATCCACCGGTACCCTTCAGATTAATGTCGGCATTTTTCTTTCTCCGGCTTGACAGCAATTGCAGGCAGCGTGGTAGACTAGCTCTCTGTTAGCTAAACTCGGTAACCGAAGCCGCTAACTCACCACTGTTCTAAATATACACAAGAACTGCACTCCGCTGCTGAGCTGTGACCCTGCGGAGATCGTAGGGAGTAGGGGGGACTGTGTGCATAAGTCTCACTTTTGTCTCTTGCATAATGCATCAATTAACTTAAACCTCGTCCACTTGGACACACAGCTGTTTTTGAAGTTCTGACCACCACGCACTTTTATTTTTCTAATTTATTTTGAATGTGGTAAACTGTAGTCATATTACAGTGAATGCAGCAGTTACCGCGTTCGTTGCGTTTTTGCTTCGATGGTTAATATGCAAGTTTGTAGAAACTCGGAACACCAGTGGTTTGCGTTTGTAGCAGAGATGAACGAGTAGTGGGGGCGCTGAGCTGTCCAAGCTTAATGTACAAGGATCTCTAATATGTGTGGTAGGGCTGCAACAGCCTCCTGGCGATTTTCTCAACTAATTGAACTGTTTGGTCTTTAAATGGCCATCACTGCTTCTTAGACACTATATGTCTGATCAAAATATTCAGTTTGCATTTGTACAGAGAAACACGGGGCATCCTTGCATTATATGAGTGACAGCAAGGCACTTCTTTTAGATTTCATCATTATAGTAAATGACTCTGCTGATTAATCACTTAATAAAATATTGGTTAATTTTCTATCAATCAATCAATGGAATAATCGTTTCAGCTCTAGTATATGGACACTAGTTCATCCATTGTTAAATATTCTTGTCAAGATTGCTGATTGCTTATTCTAAACATGAACATCAATATGCTGGCCTAACAAGCTCTCTGCACTTCTCTTGTATTTCTGCTTATTCACTTTTGGAACTTGGCTGCATCCTCAAGCCATTAGTGAGGCTGTCCCTGGTGCTGCTGTGGTGTGGCTCATAGTCAGCATTTCACTTCCTCTCATGGATGGTGCTCATGTCAGGCTGCCGTTTTAGGCCAGTTGTGTCCTACTGTACCAGACTGGGAAAACTGATTATTATGTGTTTAACATGCTCATAACTTTAGGGATGTGTGCCCAGCTGCAGAAGATATCTGAATAGTTTGACAGTTATGTAGTTCATACTTTATTCCATAGAGAGAAACTTGCCTCTTTGACATGGAGTGTTTGTCCTGAAACAGGAAACAGCCCCCCCCAAACCGTTGCTGTGCCGTCGGAAACACATTATTGTCAAAAATACCACTGTATCCTGCAGAATTAGGATTTCCTATCATTGGGGCACTAGGAGGCCCAAACTAACTGCCCCAGACCAACAGTGGACAGGGATATACAGCGTTTCCATTAGGTTTACAGCTTCTTCTTTCTTTTCTTGTATAGACCTGTTCTATAGGAAAGATAACCTTAAATGATTTCTGTTGTGATCTGATGCTAATTAGAAAATTAACTTGACCTTCGGAGGGGAGGCTCGTATAATGGTAGGGGAAACACTGGCTAAAAGCAAAGCAAAACAAGGAAAGGCCTCGATAGCTGCTGCTGCTGCTATGTGCGGCTGCCATGTTGATACAGGGTCACAGTGCCTAACACATGTCTGCCCACAGATTCATAATTCACTGAATTCATTTTAGTCTATTTTTGCAGTGCTTTGGTTTGTTACAGATCCAGAGCACTTCATGTAGATAGAAACACTAATGTTTCTATGACACAATATTTAAGATGATCTTGCCCTTACATAGTTCTGTCTTGCTTACATGCCACAGTTCTTTTACAAAATTATGTTTCTAGTGAGTCATTAATGGAAACTATCCTTTCGTACAGTCCTCAAAGCAAAAGGGCCATTGCCAAAGTTTATGCAAAACTCTCAGAATGTTCTGAAACTGTTTGTACTACACGCTTGAGAATGGCCTGGCAAGATGACCTTAATATGGAGATGAGGGGAACTGTTGCACATTAATTACACATTTGTGCTTATGCAGCCAACATGGAGGTGACACTTTGTCATGTTATAAACATTTTAAAGAAGGATTAATTGAGAAATTCAGCATGTTAGCAACAGTAAAATATTGTAGTGTAATGTTATTTCCTGTTGCATGGTTTTGCAGAGTCTTTAAATACAACATCCAAAAGCAGCATAGTGTTTTCTACTTTGTGAAGTGGCCAGAACTTCTCCTGCGGTGGTGGTGGGAGAGAAAACATGTGATGTATTTGAAATAATAGACTGAAATGTCATGACAAATGCAGCAGATGTGCGTGGAGTGATAGGGTTCTGTAAATAATGTTTTCTACATAAAGAGTTCTCTAAATAATTAATGTGAAATAATACGTGTACTCTTTATGTAGAGAACTCTATGTAGAAAACATGAGAACATTATCTACAGAACTCTTTATAAGCACATTATATGTTAGAAAATAGTTGCTGAAAACATGTAAAAAGACAGAACTGCATAATTCTGAAGGTTTAGTGCCAAGTCATTATGAGAAGCTACTGGTAGAGACGTAATGATACGAAAATTTAACAGCACGATTATAGTGACCACAGTTATCAATATTGTCATGATACTTACAATGGGATGAAAATGTTCAAAAAGTACTTGCACTAATGTCTGTGCTCATATCGAGTAAAACCAAATGTAAGCATAAAACTCTGCCACTAATGTCTGTGCTCATATCGAGTGCCCCTAAAACCAAATGTAAGCATAAAACTCTGCACGCTCTAGTTTTTATAATATTAGTGTTGGGGGGCGGCGTTATGTTAAGGATGGCTCCAGTGTGTCACAGAGCCATGCTTTATGCCCCGCCTGGAAAACCCTGGACTCAGAAATGATGAATAACCGTTTAACGGTCTAAACTCCACAATTCAGTGCTAAACATTTCTCTTTTCCTGTTTTCAGCAACGGTTTTCTAACATGTAAAATATGTTTAAAAACAAATCACTGATTTTGCTTTACCTTGACTTTAATGAGATGAAGTTTGTTAAATCTACTGTATACATTATAACGTTCATTCAAATATGCAGACAGTGCATAGGATGAAGTGCAAGGACGTTGATGCGTAACAGATCAAAATACAGTGTTTTCATGTCTTAACTCTGTCAGCTGTAGGGTGTGTTTATGACTTCTGAGTTGAAGAGGTTTCATTACACTTACTGTGAAAGAGGAAAAAGCAATAGAGTTGCTTTATTTTTGAAACCATCTTTATTGATGGTTCTTCCTGTTTCTGGCACAGCTTTCACTCACACAACTCCTCTGGCTCTTTACTAGCAGCATGTTGGAGCCAAACATTGTTGTCACTGATGAAGTTCGTGCCCTTCAAAGAAGTTCACTCTGGGTTGTGGGAATGTTTGTGCCTTTCCCTTTTTTAAAGGGCAGAGTTATGGCTGAATATGAACAGAAATGTGGAGCTACAGTGTGATGGGTTGAAGGAAACATGGCACGGATCGTATTCTGTAACTAAAAATACTAAGCTGGAATGCTGTTATATGTAGTTTGTATTCTTTTTAGCTTTCGCATCAGAAGTGGAGAATTAGGATTTGACTTAAAAATGCTATCTACAAAAAAATTCTCTACTGCAGTTACTACATTTGTACCAAAGAGGAGGTGATTTAAAATTAGTAAAGTGTGCCTTCAGGGACAGGAGTTGGCAGACTATCTTAGGTTATAAATGCTGTGTTATGTGGCACGGGTCCACACCTGTAGACTTGTCCCTATAAAAATAATGGCTTTATTGAGACACAGTAGGATGTTTAGGTCAGACTATAGTGCACCAGCATTGATAAGTTGGGACTCTCTTAAATTGCATACATGTAGATGTAATATGATTGTTGCAGCTATAACACGACTGTCGCCTTACTACCCACCAGGTGTCATGAGCAGTGAGTTGAATGTTCCCATGGGTTCCCCAGCACCAGGGGTCTCAGAGAGGGCTCCAGATGGCAGGGGGATGGACTACAGGGACTGGGTGCGGCGCAGTTACCTGGAACTGGTGAGCTCCAACCACCATTCAGTGCAAGCCCTGTCCTGGCGGAAACTCTACCTGAGCCGTGCCAAGCTGAAGGCCTCCAGCAGGACCTCTGCACTGCTCTCTGGCTTTGCAATGGTAAGTCAGATTCCCCTTTCTGACCAGCTTCAGTGCAACAGAGTTTTGTAAGGAACCTGGCTGCTTGTTTTACAGTTCACCTATTGACAGTATATAACAGATGGACGACCAGTCACCACTTCCCTCCAAAAATGACCTAAAATGCCATGAATGCAGAAGCTGCCATCTAGGTATATTGCAATCAGATTTGCAAAATAGTGACCAAGCTGATGAGTGACATTTCACTAATCAAAGCTGTCAGTTTATTGAAACTACACCCCTTTTTATATCATGAAATAACTTGTTAAAAAACAACCTTGCCAGAAACAGTGGCGGGCCGTCAGGGCCAGCAAGGCCTTCTCTGCTGGCCTAAACACTATTAGAAGCACTGACCTACATTTACAACCGAAATTCTAATATTTGTTCCATGAAATTGTATTAATTTATTCACAACAATCTGTTCTCTTCATTTCGTAGTATTTCTCTTGGCTGCACCGCTTCCAGTACGTGTATGTGGATGTTAGATTTTTTGTCCAATCAGATTTCAGCCTCTGTGTTGCCATGTCAATCTAATCTGCCCAGGGCCTTCAGAATCAGAAGTGCTGGCCCATGTAACTTAAACTATATTAGCAATGGGACTGTTTCTTTAGCCAATCAGATTTCAAATTCGCCTCACAGGGCCAGCTAGCTGGCCCACAATGATGTCAGCATTTTTCTGTCCTCTGATTGGTTGGTCAGAGCAAAACTAGAACAGGGCTTACGATGGAACTGAAACGCAGAGATCACAGTTGCGGTTGTAGTGTAGAGGTTTTGGAGTTGTCTTAACTGGGTTTCTTGCTTTAGTAAAAACGGTATTCACCCTCAATACGCTAAATACCTCTCTCTCTCTGTAATGCCACACTTTATTACAGAAAGATGGCCACTTATAAACACAGTGTGATAATAGCTACCAAATATGGCAGAAGTCACTTTTGGGAAAAATTTGATTTGTGCATTGTTTTTTAATTTGGCTCATGTCCTGTCTGCTAACATGGAGGAGGTGGGATTTATGACCTGTACTGCAAACAGGGTGTGACTGACTTGTGAGAGCTGTCATCCATCTTTTATACAATCAGTCTATCACTTTTTTTTTTTTAAGATTCTGACTGATTACTTTCCAAGAAACTGATGGTTGAATGGAAATGCGGTTGTGGTCAGGAACTGGTTTTAAATTGTTTGCACTGTTAAGATGTCATTGTTGGCTGGTTACTGGCAACCTTAAAGCTTGGAGTTTACCTTCTGGATTAAATATTGTCAGCTAAACTATCCTTCAGTTGCTTGAACATCCTTATGCTGTTTTCAATTAACACACATGGAACGTCAACTTGCAAAACCTTGGCCACCCAAAGTATCATCACAGCTCTGTCACTGGTGGCTCGTGTACTTGAATCGTCGTGCCAAGGACAGGATCTCTAATATGTGAAACATGCTGGTCCGAACAGGGTTAAGGTTACCTCTGGACATCATAGGGGATAGAAAATGGCTTTGTTTACATGCACAGCATCTTTGTGTGGCTTGTCATGTACACAGATGTATAGAAACTTTGTTATTCCTGTCTCTGTTTGTGATAGGTGGCCATGGTGGAGGTGCAGCTGGAGATGGAGTACAGTTACCCTCGTGTGCTGCTCATTGCCTTCAGTGTATGCACCACCGTGCTGGTGGCAGTGCACCTCTTCGCTCTGCTGATCAGCACCTGCATTCTGCCCAACGTGGAGGCCGTCAGCAACATTCACAACTTAAACTCTGTTAGCGAGTCACCCCATGAACGCATGCACAACTACATTGAGCTGGCCTGGGGCTTCTCCACAGCTCTGGGCATCTTGCTGTTTTTAGCAGAGGTGGTGCTCCTCTGCTGGATCAAGTTCTTGCCCGTAGACTCTGGCGCAGTCAAAAAGGCAACTACCTGCAGTCCCACAACAGACACCCCAACCATATCCCCTGCACCACAGAACAGCGGGTGGCAGGCTGCACTGGCCTCCACAATCATCATGGTCCCAGTGGGGGTGATTTTTGTGGTGTTTACCATACACTTCTATCGCTCTCTGGTGCGCCATAAGACGGAGCGACACCACCAAGAGATTGAGGAGCTACACAAAATTAAGGTGCAGCTGGATGGCCAGGAGAGAGGCCTCCAGTCTGTGTGACAACAGCTTTAAGAACTTCTCTTTTTATTGCATATTTATCAAGTCCTATTTATCTCCTATTTATCCAGTTGCATTGTACGACCTTTGCAGTGTGTTGTAGATCTCTGTATTGGTTGAGGATAATGTAAAAAGGTTTACAAAGAAAGGGCTATTAATTTCTGTGCCATTTTTTGGGTCATGGTTGTAGTTTCATGGTATGGGTGGGTAATAATGTCACCACTTTGGATCACGATTCTATTTGAGGCCAATGAATCTCTTAACCTGTTACTTCTCGCCTTACCTCCTACTAGCAAACAGCAACGTACAAATTATTTAGAATAATTTTAGCCAATGGTGGACTTACCTTTCCAGAGAAATTTCAGCCAGGAACTTAAGCTAATTACCATTAATGCCATAATGTAAATGTAACATGGCTATTGTTGATCCTGCTCTCTGTGCTCAGTCAAAGATAACTTGTAAATAGGGATTTAAAAAGATTTGGATTACTTAGGATTCAGATCCTGTAAACTGATTTCAGACCCCAACCCTATCACGTGGTCAGCACAGGCCTAAACCTGCTCCTCAGTCACAGAGTTTACAGTTCATTTTTATGTAAAGAATTGAATCATGCATGACAGTGCGAGCAACTTGGTGCATGTTTCACTCCATTGTGACTGAGGGCATTTCTATACACTGTGAGAAATCAGTCAAACTGTAAAGTCTTAAAAATGTTGCATACTTGCCAAATAGAAGTGCGGTTCGCGTCACTGTGTTTTACATCCAAAATCTCATGCAAGCCTTGAAAATTTTCATTTTATTTCTTCAATTTGCTTTTACTGTCTTTGTACAGAAAGTCAATTGTGCAAACTGATGCTGCTTAAATGTGAATATGTTACTGTCTAAATCTGGTTCTGCCTTACTGAATTGCCTTTTATGGCTTACTGTTTTGCTAAAAGGTAATAAAATAATACAGGCCGAGCTTTTGCTGAAATGTAGCATGACACCAAGTGTAAACGGTGAGTTGGATCAAGAGTCATAGGGCTGGCAAAAAGGTCAGACTTGTGAAGAGATTAGAACACGTAATCAGCAGTTTACATACTAAATAGTTTATATAAGTGGTTTAACTGAAAGAGTCAGATGTTACAGTTACTTGGACGAAGTCAGAGTATGTTACTATGCTTAAAAAGTACAAATGTACCAACCTGTTACCACATTCCAAATAAGACTGACCAACGTGTTGCTCGGTCGTTTGTTTCTTGCTTCTCAGAAGAGAAAGTGCACTTGTAGTTTAGCAGTAACACTGAGTCTCTGCTGTAGTTCGTCTCAGAGACAGCTTTGTCTCATGTGGATAGGGACTTTTTAAATGATTACTGTGGATGGAGATAAAGAGTTGAAATTACCAGCTACAAACTTCAAAAATAAAAAGATAAAAAAAATTTGTGTCCGGTGTGTCTAACATTCAAATGCAAGTTCCATGTTTTATAAAAAGTAAAGATAGTCGTGTGCCAAAACAGACACTGTCCTACTCTTGTCATGTTAACTGCAGTGACCTTACCTGCAGCTATTCCAAAAGACCCATGGAGAGTCATGATCAAACTGACTCACGGCCATAGGAGGAAAATCTAAATGAGATGTACAATATATACACTCACCGGCCACTTTCTTAGGTACACCTGTACAATCATTTTCATTTAGGTGTCTTTTTGTCCCTAGCCTCATGCATGAGGGTCAGAATAATAGGAACACCTCTGAATATAGTGTAGTCCAGTACAACAGCACCTTTAACTATCACCTCCATAGCATAATTGAACTTGCACATTTGTGACCATTTCACTAAAAACATTTTGAGCTTCATAAACACATGTTAAGGTGGAAATGTTGCATTGAATTGTATACCTAATAAAGTGGCCAGTGAGTGAACAAAATATTGGCCAACATTTTCTTAGTTAAAAATTCCATCACCAACTTGGAAGCAGCTAACCTTATTACTCCACAGTACAGCACATCATGCATCTCTTGAAGCACTTAGTCCTTGACAAAGTTAAGTAAAGAACCAATAAACCAACTGCTGAAGGACTATTCAAGTTTTACCTGCTGCCTTCCATCTACAAACTCACAGCTGCAAAGTGAGAAAACTGAGCCTTAATGTCGCTGGTGTGGGGAGAGTTCTTATATTTGCAAAAACCACCTAAATGACATACTCAAAACAGCCGTAGCTGCTGAAGCACACCAACTATAAGAATAAATAAGACCTTGCCAGAAAGGGAAGAATCAAAGACAAATCTCTAACCCTCTAAATATTCAGACCCTTCATTTGATACTGGTAAAACCTGAGGGACAGAAGAATGCAGCCAAATACAGGAACATCCTTGAGGAAAGTTCTATGGTTTCGCTTTGTCCTCATGGGTGTTTAAGTGTATAGTGACAGGTAGTAATGGTTCAAAACTGATTGCACAACACGTGTGCAAAACATAGTCATAATTTCTGAAGCTATTGCGTCTATATACAGTCACAGGCCACTTTACTAGGTACATCTGTCCAACTGTATGCAACACTTCCACCTTAACATCTGTGTTTATGAAGCTGAAAATGTTTGCTTTGGTGGAATTTGCATACATGTATAAGTTAAATTGTGTTTATTATTGAGGACATAGTTCAGTGTGTTGCAGTGGACTACATTATAGGTGTGTCTATATTTTTTTGTCCTCAGCTACATACATGAAGGAATTCTGACCAATGACATTCCCACCGATCAGGTAAAACATTACAGCCACCGACAGGTGAAGTGAATAACAGTGATGAGCTCGTTACAGCCACCTGTCAGTGGGTGGAGTTTATAAAGCAGCAAGACAACAGCGTCCAAAGGACAGATGGTGAAGTGGGGACAGGGTCACGGACGGTCACTGGTGATGAGGTTGACTTTCTGTAGATATTTTGCAAGTAACTTTTAGTGTATCGCGTTTTTCGTGTATGTAGATGCTTAGCTGTTATTCTGAGGTAAAATAGTTGAATAAATGTGTAATTTCGTGTTCATGTAGGATACTTTATCTAGTGTTAGTGAGGATTAAATGTTGGCGTGTAACGTTAGCAAAACTCTGCTAGCAAGAAGCCTTTCGGGCTGAAGACAAACCAGGCGTGTGTCCTGTAATTAGCTCCATGTGTGGTTAGCCTTCCGGTACGCTATTGTTTAGCTTTAGCATGTTGCTTTTAACGAGATTAATTGTTAAAACTTGCTTCTAGGAAGTTTTGCCATGACTGTAACTAGTCACCTATCCTGGCTCTGTAGTGTTACATATTGAATATATCTGGACTGGATTAACATTAGCACCCTCATGTCTTAAACACCCAAGTTCACTATTTAGAGGACACTGGTCTTTGACACAGATGTCTTTCTTTTAGTGGAGAAACCTTTTAGACAATTACATGAGCATAGTTTTTCTGCCTCATCTGTATAAGATGGAGCCTCATTTAGATTTAAGTCCAGACAAACCATCAGCTGTCAGTCATTATTACTGAACGGCCCAAAAAGCCTGTTTTGTTTAAATGAAGATATTTAAAATGTCAGCAGGCTTTGACAGTGGAAGCAATGCCAGGATTTAATGATATCAAACATCAGTAACTTCACGTTGAAGAATGGTGTCCTGTTAACAGTGGAGAATTTCATGTCTAAATCTAGATTACTAAAGGTCTTTGAGTATCTGGAAATGAAGACTAACTGGAGGATGACTTGTATAAAGCTGCAAGTAATGGAGTCTTTTTTTGATGAGGTTAACAAAGGGAAACCACACATGTGAAGTTGATTCACTGCTCAGTGCCTATTAGGTTGGATGTTGTGTAGAAAATGCTAGACATGCTGGTCAAAGACATTTCACTATCCTTTTTTCATCATATCTATATTTGTGACACTTGTCTTATTCTACTCCTGTAATGCCTCCTGTTCTACTTTCAAGGTGACAGACCTGCTGAGTACCTCAACTCCAGAACTTGGGAGGTGCCCAGTGAAGAAGAAAACCCAAATGTTGTGGGCTCGCACTACAAACCTCCAGACAATTCTGATGGTGTGTAAATTGTTCAGACCACTGTGAAATGTTGCATTAAATTATTGCTGTGAATAGCTTCTTGGTGAAATTTAACATTCCTTCACTTTGGTATTGTTTAAATGTGGAACCTTTTTACAATAGTGGTGCTTTACAGCTACAGTTTAAATTGCTGATTAAGATCAAACTTGCATGCCCTGTTTCATAAATTGAGGGTAAACAAAGGAATTAAAATGAATGTTCCTTGTGGGTTTGATAGCAGTGAACCCGGCAGAAGGATGTCAGCAGTAATTCAGAGATGGCATTTCAATGGGTGGTGAGATGACATCTTGTATCTTCAGTTTTCCCCATGATTTTGTCTAAATGGATAATGTTGACTTGAACTTTGCGGTGTCCATTTTGTGCCTGTGTATATGAAAGGATGTTCACTGCTAAGGTACAAATGTGCCTGCTAAAGCCTTTTCTTCAAAATAAAGCAAACCTATCAAAAGCAAAACATGACGGGTTGAATATATATATAGAGCACATCATGCTTTAAACTCAAGCTTTTTCCATTTCCCCCTTTAGGCAATCCTTAACCAGATGTCCTTTTGTGGCCAGACAAGCAGCAGCATTGAGGGCATGCACACAGATGGGAAAAGTTGGTTTATAAATGCACCATTTATTGAAATCAAAGCTTTACAAATTTTTTTTCTGCAGCCACTACATCCCAGCCAGCTGCTGAAGCTTTGGCTAAGATAGGAAATCTCTGCTTTGATGGACCTGCCAGTAGAGTACATCAGATTTTTCTCCATGCTGTTACTGAATGTGCCTGGACCAAAACTTCAGCAGCATTTAAAGGATACTTTGTGTGGAGTGACTTCCAGGTCCTTCAACAGTGTTCTAGTCCTGTCAATAAAAGCTATTAAAACTTGAACTTGTTGTACTTTTAATGTGTAAGATCAGGCACTGGTTTGAGTCTTGGTTCTTCACTGCATCTAGTGAGCCAGTGCCCTTTAAAAGAGGGGAAAATGGTGAAACGAAGCATAGATTTCTTTTTAAGACATGTTTGACTTTTTGGCCTTGTTCTGGGCCCTGTTCTTGTTTTCAATAAGGCTCTTACAAATCTTTTAATATCAATATGAGGTACTGATTCAGTTCTTCACTGTACTCAGCATGATCCACATCTGGGAAAATGGTCCCTGTGACGGAAAACAAACATTTCATTAATGATTACAGTGAGGCACAAGTTGCTTTACACACTCACCTCAATGTCCTGAGGGTTGACAGGAATAAGTCTTCCCAGTTGTCCCGATCCTGGATTCAAGACAGGCTGTGCAGTGTGTTTAAATATCAAACTTCTACAAGGTGGTAGTAGTGACTGTAGTAAAGTTGTAGGCTTTAAGTGAAAAGCCTAATTAATAGTTTAACCTACTGCCAAGTGCACATAAGTTGTCAAAAACAAGATTACCTGGACGTAAAGTCAGGTTTCTTTGCAGCACCAAGGAAGAACTCCAGAGCCATGGATGCCCCGAACCTGTGACAGAGCTGAAAGCAATGGTCACTATTATGACTATTTGCCACAAAGTTTTTACTAAAGCAATACAGGCTCTGAACTTTTGGTTTAAGGCACAACACCAAAGCTTCATTATCACAGTAAGTGAAACGTACACCACAGCTCATTCTGACCCTGTGTACAAACGTGGTGGATACAAATGCAGAGTGAAAGCACATAAAGACACTAATATGCACATCTTACAGCTGTCTTAAAACACCATACATCAAACTAGGAAGTTTGTCAGTGGAAAACATGGATCAGATTGGAACAAAGAATGAAATGTATACAATTACATTGTGCTCCATGTTAGTTTTAAAAAAAATGTCATTCAATGTCATTCCAATTTATATCAATCTCAAACACTTCTGAAATTAGATTGTCAGGAAAAAAGAGCTGAGAAATTACAGTCTGACCTGAACCTATCAGTACTAGTATAGTACTCTCACTTGAACTACAACTTTAGAATGTTTTTCACCTCATCAACTTGATTTTGATGTCCCTATGTAGGAGTGACAAGGGCCCAGAACACTGTCGGTCCTCCTCGTATATCACGCCCGAAACTATTTAAGCTGTGCGAGTCCCATATTCTAGTCTGTGTGTTCTGTGGCCTATTGAAAGATACATGGGGTGAGTTAGTCCTATAATGTTTGTCCTACTTATAACAATTACTCTTATCACAGAAACCTGTACAAACTAACAGTGACTTATTTTTGGTAATTTAGGTATATTTCCCTGCTAATGCCTTTGCACCATTATTTAAGAACATTTTGAATGTAGCACATTTACCTGTAACAGGACATCTCAGTAAAAAGACGCCACCGGTTTGGACCTCACCGGGTCTTCATCAGGGCGGAAACATACAGGTGCAAACAATTTGTTAGGTTTCCGTGCTGAAGGACAGAACTTAACCTCATAAGCAGTATTGACCTCATAAAGCAAATGTCACTGAATCATATTTCACTTTATCCTACAATAAATTGTATTAAATAAGCTTCTGTTAATTTTGAAAATGTGTTAGCTTATTTATGCAGGCATTGTAAAAATTCTGAACGTTAAAAATGTGTTACTCTAACTTAGAATAAGTTAAGCTAGATAAAGTAACCCACTTGAAAGAAAAAAAAAACATTTGGAGAACTGTGTTAACAGCGAAGCATCTCCGCGTTGACTACATACGAAACATGAAATGTTTACTGTGATCCACCTGAGTAGCAGAACAGCCTTGGGTCATCTTGAATCTCCCCTACAACCGAACTTACAGAACAACCACCGGAGACTAATTTATAAAACCCAGCTACCACCTGATTGGCCAATTTCACTTTGCTCTGTGATTGGACTGTTACTTCTTCTTCTGTTGTTCAATGGCGGTTGGCAAACAGCTTTACGTGCATTACCGCCACCTTCTAGACTGGAGTCAACGGTTTAAGCATATCAGGTGATGTGTATTTGTGTAATAAGGGAGGGCATGGCCTAAGGAGATCAATACCCTATATCAAGGTGTAATTATTAGGCAGCTTCTTATTGTTAGGTAAAATGGGTCAAAAAAAGAGACTTAACTGACTGAACAGTCATTACTGAAAACAGTGGTGGCTATATTGGTCACTGATTTTTTTTTTTTTTTTTTTTATGTTCATTTGTAAATTTGAGTTATTCTCACTTTAACAGATGAAAATAAGTAAAATTTTCATTTTTCATTTAGTTGCGAAATAATTCTGCACACTAACAGATGCCCAATAAATGTATACACACAGACATTCACCTAAGAAAGCCAAAACCTCACTTTTACTTTCTTAAATATGCAGGTTTAAGGTTTATTAACATTTTGGATTGACCAAGAGCATTGTAATTGTTCAATAATAAAATTAATCCTCAAAAATGCAACTTGCCTAATAATTGTGCACACAGTGTATGTTAAAATAACATTTGACCACTGGTTCTGTCAAATGTGTGGAGACCAAAACAAACCTCACAATGAACTCTGAGTTAGTACTCTGAGAAGATTCCTGTCTTTCATCAACACATGGGAATATAATTCTTACTGATGCAACTAAATGAAAAACGAAAGATGTCCCATCTCACTTGTTTATTGTCATCTGTTAAAGTGAGAATAATGCATTCAAAATTTACAAATAAATATTTGACATAAAAAAAACAACAAAAAAACAACCTGTGACCAATATAGCCACTGTTCTTTTCAATAACAGTCATAAGCCTTTCATTCATGGAGTCTGTCAGTTCCTTGATCTGTTGACAATCCACTTTTTGTGCAGCAGCAAGCACAGCCTCCCAGACGCTGTTCAGAGAGGTGTACTGTTTTCCTTTACTGTAAATCTCCTGTTTAAGAAGGACCCACAAATTCTCAATAGGTAGGTTACAGTTCTGGAATATGACAGCACTGGAGGATAATGTCTTTCTTCTCAAATCTTTGGCAGTTCATTTGTCTTTATTTTCTCAACACGTTTATTGCGACCCTGTTGACTATTTGCAACATAACATTTGATGGTTCTGTGATCATGCCCCAATATCTTAATTTCAAGAGTGCCACTCCCTCTCAAAGACTTTTCACATTTTTTGACTTTTCACAGTCAGTTAAGTCTCTTTTTGGCCCATTTTGATCGAGGAAAAGAAGCTGCCTAATAATTATGCACATCTTGAAATAGGGTGTTAATCTGGCTCCCAGCATCTGGGAGGCTGTGCTTGCTACTGTACAACAAGTGGATTGTCAACAGATCAAGGAACTGACAGACTCCATGAATGGAAGGCTTATGACTGTTAATGTGATAGGTCACATCACTGGCAGAGACAAAGCAGCCTACAGGAGGGAGGTGGCCAGACTGGTGTCATGGTGCAAGGACAATAATCTCACCCTCAACACGGACAAGATGAAGGAGATGATAGTGGACATGAGGAAGGAGAGGAGAGCTCATCGGCCGCTGCTCATCTGGGGGCTCGAGGTGAAGAGGGTGAGCAGCTTCAAATACCTGGGCGTCCACATCAGTGAGGACCTCACCTGGACACATAACACCACACAGCTGGTCAAGAAGGCCCAACGGTGGCTGTACTTCCTGAGGAGGCTGAGGAGGTTTGGCATGTCGCCTAGGATGCTCATCATGCATCATTGAGAGCATCTTGACCAGCTGCATCATCAAGAGCATCTTGACCAGCTGCATCACTGTCTGGTATGGCAGCACTACTGCTATGGACCGCAAGTGCCTGCAGAGAGTGGTAAAGATCACCAGGACTCCACTGACCTCTCTGCAGAGCAGGGTGCGTAGGAAAGCTACCTCCATCCTCAAACACCCCACCCACCCCAGCACGGACTGTTCACTTCTCTGCCCTCTGGCCGGAGGTTCAGAAGTGTGAAATGCAGGACCTCCAGACTGAAAAAGCCTTTCTTTCCCTCTGCCATCAGACTCCTAAACAGCTGAGGAGTTTATTACCAGGAAAACGTGATGTACTGTCGACCTGTACTGTTTACATTCTTAGTTTGCACATGCATAATTGCACAATGACTGTTGACTGCTGCACATGCAGCATACATTTTCTATTATATTCTTATATATTTTTGTTATATTTCTGCATTTGCTGCTTAAAGTGCCTTAGATTTTGTGTTACTTATTTATCAACTTTATATTTCATTTGTATTTTGTGGCATTCATGTGTACGGCAAAGTAAGAATTTCATTGTACAGGGAAACACGTTTCCTAACTGTGCATATGACAAAT